CCTTACTGTCTGCGGGAGAATTGTTATTTTAATTTCCAAAATATGTAGAAGCAACTAACTCATGCTGCTCTTTTCAAACGAATGAGTTCCTTAGACACAGCACCTCAAGCTGGAGTTGATGTGAGTATGCAAATGGAGGTAATAATTTCAACTGTTTTATCTACATTTTTACTTAGAAGCACTACATTGTAGTACTGGTTATATTTCCTTTCCACTGAAGGCCAAATGCAGATAAAATACACCCAGTGGCCAAGTTTCCTTTAATATCTCAGCATTAAGGAGCTGGGTTGCTGTTGGTAGGGGTGAAGCATTCCTGCTTGTTGCTGAAATGACCATATGTCATACGTGCTTTGATTTTTCTTTAACTTCTTCAGTATGGAAAAGTAATCCTGATCTCAGGTTCATGTTTGGAAGTGAGACTGTCCGTATTTTTCACCGGCTGCTCAGATAAACTGATGAATCTAGGAGACCTGGGTTCAGGTACAAGACTGATGCTGACAGGGGTGGAATCCCACACGGCCTTCAGCCAAGGTGGCTCTTCGCTGAGTCTGAGGGTGGGGAAGAGCCGAGAAGTCTTCCTTTCAGGGGTGAGAGGAGCTTGTTTTGTTAGCATTGCTCAGCATGGATTAAACCTCCATATTTTGATTTCACAAATCACACTCCTGCAGCTTGCAAAGCAAAAGGTTACCATGGAAATGAATTGTCCTGAGCATAAATCATCCCTCTAAATAAGCACACTTGCTGTGATTATCCTGCTGGTTTGAAATAACTTCCATTGGATCTACTTCTGAAGATGGTGGCTGCAAAGATAAGAGAGACAACTGAAATATTCACGTAAACTACGCAAGTGTGCTTTCAGACTGTCTGTGCCGCCAGTAACTGAGCAAGCATCTTGAGAACATCTCTTCTGCGCAGTATGCAGTGTGCCTCTGAAAAGCGAGGCTGGCGTCTTCTGTCCCTGTCCGGCTCCTGCTCACTTGAAAATCCTGAGCCAGAGGTGATTTTCCAGCTGAAGACTCACTGGCCCATGACCCACCTTGGGGCTAAGGGAGATCTTTGAGGAAGGTATGACAATATAAAAAAACTACATAAAGAAAGGTCAGTTTTTAAATTTAATAAGGTCAAAAAGTACAAGTGAAATGTGTGAAGCACAGAACCAGACGGAAGTGCGGGTCTGGCTTTTCCACGCGGCCATCGTAGCACCTGCTGGGCTTCGTGCCAGCGTTGTGGAGAATCCCAGCCTGAGTCTGGCTGGGTCGGACCAATGCAGTTTTGTCTCATCCACAGCAGCCCTGACCTTGAGCCCAACTGCATAGCAGACATCCACCTGGGGCCTCGGGCCACACAGCCGTACAGAAGGGCCAGGGGGAGGTGGACTGGTCACGGTCCAGCCAGTGAGCTTCCCTGGGTTCTGGTCCCCCCAGATTTGGAGAGAAGCCCTGGTCACTGTGGAGCAGAAACAACCCATCTCTTTGTACTGGCTCACAAACATTGACCAAGGAGTCTGAGTCCCGTGAGCTGGGGCTGCTGATGTCTGGAACCATTTCTGTGGCTGGGCAGGTCCGAGCACACAGGCCCTGGAGCTGCCGCTCTGTACCCTGGAGCCTGCCTCTCCACTCCTGCCCACAGGACCTCAGGGTGGTAAACACCTGCTCCCAGGAGCAGTGCGTGGACGGAAGGCAACCACGTGGCTCTCAGGCCGACACATGCCAGCCTCTCTCCATTCCTGGCGTGAGTATTCAGTGTCATGTAAATCTAGCAACATTCCAGAAAGGTGACTTTTGCACCGCATCTATCTGCGTGCTCCTTGGGATAAAGCTGTGTCAGTAAGGATTTTCTGGCTTCCAAACAGTATTTGTAAGAAGCCTAGGAGACTGCTAGACCATGGAGCCAGCCAGAATCCAGAGGACCAAAGTGATATATTCCGCACAGTTGTGTGATCACACGGCTTACATGGTTTCTGACTTTTCTGATCCATCAAAACTGTAAAAATCTAAGAGAATTCAGTGTTTGAGGACCTCTGCTCGAAGCTGTTTTGTAACTCTGTGCCGCTTGACCTGTCCCGTGGAGGCTGCAAGCTGAGATCCAGATGTTTCTGACAGCTGTAGCTGAGCCCGGCTGGCTGGTGGTTTCCCTAATGTAAGATGAGTCAGCAGCGTCTGTTCCACCCCCGTGGCCTGCCGTCCTGCAGGAGACCCACCCCGGCTTCTGCCCTTTTACCCATGGCCGGGCCTCTGGGCTCGGGCGGAACAGGTACAGAGCGTTGTTGGTGTGTGTGAGGTGCTGTTCTTTCTACACTGTGTGTCGCCTAAAACTTGCTAGAAAACAGCGTTATAGTTAATGCAAAAAACATAATTATTTTTGTGTCCTTTGACTCCCTAATCCAGCCTCTGGAATCATTCCCAAGGACAGTAGTTCAGCAGAAGGGAAAGCAACATGCACGAGAGCGTTTGTGGCAGCCCCCGTGGCACACAGGTGGAGAGCGCAGGTGGGATTAGTGACCTGCGACTTCCCCGACACCTGCACACTCTCCCACTCTGCCCCTTCCCCTTACGGGGTGCAGCCCCCAAACCCAAACCCGTCCCCTCGGCACAGCTACTGCCCGTGTCCGCATCCACCCAATCCGATGGTGCTGTCACCTCCCCAGGGCCAAGATTGCTGTGTTTCTGCCCCACGGACCGTCTCATGTCAGACGGGCTGGGACAGTTCCTGATGTCCTGTGGCAGGAGACAGACTCCACCCACCCTTGGTGAGAGGAGGAGACTATGGCCCTGAGTGCTTTGCGTGCATCCCGTCAGTGCGGAGGCCCCTTCTGTCTTTGCTCCTTCGCGGCTCTCCTGAGCTGTAGGTCATGGGGCAGGGACTGCGTCAGGGATGGACTCAAACTGCTCATTGCACAGAAGTCAGGAGGCCTTGCACTGTGACCTCTACCCACTCACACTTCGTGCCATCAGACACGAGGTACACTGTTCTGTGCTACTTGGGTCATGAGAAAAGGATGTATTCGCAGATGTGTAGCATCTGTCGTACTTACATAAATGAGTGACTTTATTCCTTTAAATCTGATCCTTTCAACTTACATGAACCCCATGGAGAAAACAAAGCTTCGTGGTTCCAGTCTGAGGTAAAGGAGTTGAAGAAATTCTGCAAGGAACCCTCGAGGCACCAGAGCAGTTCAGAGTGTCTCACAGTACTTCAGCATCCTAGCCGGCCTGTGTGTCTCCCTTGGCTCTTTTTCTTTAAAACAACACGGTGTGACTCAGTCAGGTCGTTTCACATTTGTAAGCAGGAGCATTCTGTAATAGCAGGTTGTGAGATGTTCTTCAGCGTCCTCCAAAGGGACCGTGCCTTGCAGTGCGTTTTGTGAGTTTGTAAAGCACAGAGGGCTTCCCGGTCAGGAGTAACAGTGTGTGTGTGCCTCTGGAGTTCTGTTAGCTTCAGATGAAGTGTATGAGTAGAAATCTGGTTCTCTGACAGCAAAGGCATTTCATGTTTGCTGGAAAGAATAGCAGTCCCTCAACATGGGCCATGTGGCTATTTAAGCAAACACATACTTAGACTGAGAAATAAAATAAATAAAATACCCTCCTTGGGAAACTCACATACGCTTAGATACACACTCCCCTCACATTCTCAGACTTTACTGCATGACCATAGCCCCGAGAACTGGAGAGCCCAACCCAGGTGGTGAGCGGGCCAGGTGGCAGTGGGTCTGGAGCCACTTCATTTTCTGCATGACAGAAGATGAAAGGAGCCAAAGCAGGAATCTCCAGGTCAGATCTTTGCGGAACCAAAGGACAGATCGGAGTTCACGCCGCCCGCCTATCCTTTGGGAAGGTGTTGCTCTGCATAAAGTCTCCTGTGCACGTGCTTGTGTGTGTTTGCAGTTTGGCTTTCAGCCTGTGGTATTTTATTGGAGGTGTGAACTGGACAGGACCAGACTTCAAATCGCTTCATCTATGAAATGTAAAGTCATCTGTGTCGCTGCCTGCTCCAGGGAGGTGGAGCTTAACTCCCCGCTTGGGGAGGGGATGGCACTTGGTGACCTCTTTCTAAAGAGTACTGCAGCAAAGAGCAGCTGCACCCGGGAGACTTGACTAGCACCACTCAGGTCAGGCGATGGAAGCTGGGCCACAGTGCCAGGCTGCCGGGTACCAGGACTGCCTGTTGGTTCTGCCAGAGCAGCACGGAGTGGGACCCATACCTGCAGTCTACTTACGCCGGAGGCATAAGGACATTCGTGAGATAGGCACAGTCTACAACGATCTGACTCTTGACGAATATTCAGGTCATCAAGAAGGAAGCAGAGCTTAAGGAATCATGTGGTATATCACGTGGAACCCTGGGTTCGATCAGTCTGTAAAAGATCATGGGTAAAGTAAGGGGGTCTGAACATGTACACGTTGGTTAACAGAATGAGTAACCCAGTAAATAAATCCACACATTCCGGTGAAAGTTTTCCTGTCTGGAATTCCATAGATGAGCATGGTTATATTGTACAGTAGATTTAAGATAGTATATGTGGTGATTCCATGTAACAGAAGTAATTCTCTTAATGAGAAAGAATCTCAGAACAGCTCGAGTGGATTCTCAGTTCTCAGATCTGAAGAATCCCTTGACATCTTTAAGAAGGCTTTTCTGCGGGTCATCATAACCTGGGACACTTCTGTTTGCAGTGACGTGATAGTTATGTGTGTTTGGAAAGCAGGGGCCTCTGTGGTGCATTTATAAATGAGTCTGTCGGGTCACTGGGTGTATTAGGGGAGAGGTGATGTATTTTTATTATCCTCTGGTAATGCAGGTGGAAAACTCAGTGGATTTGTTAATCGATGATCCACAGCCGAACATTACAATCTCTGTAAACGTCTTTCTGCTAAGCCCTAGAGGCTCCAGGCTTGTAAACTGAGTAAGAGAGCTCAGTATATAATTTTTCTTTCCAAAAGCATGTTAATTTCCTTTGTCTATAGTTGAAAAGACACAAGTTGTACCAGAACAAGAAATCAGAGCAATATCATCATTTTATTGAAGTACATGAAACAAAATGTCCCCAAGCACTCTTAGTTATGTTATATCAGCTCTCCAAGGTATTTTGCTCTGTGAGTGTGGATACGGCGTCCTCGCTTCTGAACACTGGCAGGCTGCACGCGGAGCGGTTGTGGAACTCTCCCTGAGTGTTGGTCATGGCTGCAGCCTCAGTCGCAGTGCAGGGAGGCTGTGCAGCCTCACACAGAGTTCTGTTCAGCCGTGCTGTGGTGTGGTCATCCACGCTGCCCCCTGTCAAACCCTCTTGCCTGGTGACTCATGACCGACCTGTGGTGTGTTAGCAAGGAGATTACGAAGTACGATTTGAACAGTCAGAAATGTGGCTTAGCTTTAAAAACAACTAGATCGCAGAGATAAAATTGCCTAAGTTAGAGATGGAAAAACATTCTAGACTCTGGCGAATTTAAGGCTGATTTGTGGGCCTGTTTATTGCGCTTCTTAGTTTTGAGTCAACACCATAATGGCTTTGCTCTCTTGCAAGGTGAGGTGGTTTTGCCCTAGCCTTGCACAGCAGTGACTTCTTTGCACACAGTGAAATTTGCCCAGCTCTTGTGTGACTGGTTGGAAAGCCTCCGTTAGTAAAAGCTGCTCTCCATGGTTGTGTTAAGTTTTTACTCCCTATTTCCAGGCTTGTTCCCTGTGTGCCTTCAAGTGTTTGTTAAAATCCTGAAGACAAAATGAGCACAAATAACCTCGCGGAGGAGGGAACAGCCCAGGAGCAATTGGACGTCACCCTCGTAAGCCAGCATGACGCAGAGGAGACGCACAAGGCCGTGCAAGTGGAAATAGAGGACTGGAAACCGCTCAGCTGCCGAGGGTGCACATTTGCTCTGCCCTCGGCACCTGAGCCACACGCGGCCCTAAAAGGCTACTGGCAGGAAAGAAACCGGAAGTGAAATAAAAGGAAAAGAAGCGAGATGAAGCGGACGAGCCCGGTCTGTTCCAGGCCAGCGTGGTCTGCCTCTGTCTGTGGGAGGGAGCCCCGGCACTGCCTCCCTCTGTTGTGCCTTCCCCGCGGTGCCTGCCCGTAGCCCGCGCTTACCGCACTGTCTCTTAACCACCAGCCGGTGAGGATCCCGGACGGCCGGATGGTGATGGTCCTGGCGGACGCGGTCCGCTTCCTCCCCTCCGCGCGGGCTCCGGCGGCGTCCGGACTCAGCGCACGGGACAGCTCTGTGTGCCCTTCTGCCGAGGCGTGCGCGTGCCGCAGGAGTGACTCGCGGGCTCCCTCCCCACCTGTCCAACGGGAGCTCTGGGCACCCAAGGAGGTCTCGATTCAGCCCCTGAGCCGACTGACCCCGCGCCTGTCGCACCTGCAGCACAGCGAGCTTTCCTGTGTCCTCCCCACACCAGCAGCGGCCTGCATTGACTGCGCTGCTCCGGGACGTGGGGACAGGATTCCCAGCCTGCCTCAGTCCCGACAGTGAACTCGTGGGATCATAACCATCGCCATTCCCGTCGCAAAGGGGACCCGGGGTCCGGGAGCTGATGAATCAGCCCAGAGTCTAACCCGGGGTGTGGCGCTCGCCGCCGTCCTGGCGGTATTGGCCGGGGCAGGTGGGTGCGGCAGAATACGGAGCTGACAGGAGGACGCGGGCACCGTGCCTCTTCCCGCTCACCGAGTGTTTCCAGTGCTGGAAGACGGAAGCAGTCAGGGCTTTAAGACTTCACACGCTCTCCCTGAGCTCTCATTCTGAACCTGGAAAGCCACGGCACCCAGAGCTGGGTCCCGTCCTGGGGTCAGTCCTGTACTTCAGATGGCAAGGCTTTGATCTGCCAGGTGCCAGCGGGGCCTGGGGTGTCACACACGCGCTGTGACCCCGGGCCGACACGGGCGGTCTTCCCTCCCACGGAGCTTTCTCTGGCTCACAGCTGGCAGAGCGGGGAAGGGGCTGAGGTCGGCCGGTTGGCGTTTGTCTCTGTCTCTTTCTCCTTTCCAGTGCCGCTGTCCTTGTCCTGGCTGTCCCAAAGCACACGCTTCTTCTTCAGTTAAACAAAGGGCTGATGGTTTACTCAGCCCCGAGGAAACGGAGCTAGACAGTCGGAACCATCTGTCCCGAAGGGTGAGCTCTGAGGGCAGAGCACTTGTGTGGTCTTTATTCTGTCAATGAGGAAAAAAACCTGACCACATGAGTATTCTTCACTCGTGGTTTGTTTATTGAACAAGTACTTCCTGTCTGTTCTTCAGTAGGAAGTGACAGTGAATAGTCCCTTTGCTGACTTGCTTGTGCCCTTCATGGGTACCGCACCCGACTCTGGCAGATGGATTTGTAGCGCCCTTGCACTGCGGAAGCAGCACCCTTGCACAGAGCTGTGATCAGCGCAGCCTTTGCTCCTTGCGTGTGCTCCCTGGCGGCAGCTGCTGTCACATTTGAATACTGGGACTGTTCAAAGGAGAGGCTCGGCCACGTGAAGCCCGTCATTGCGGGTACTTGTGTGACGATTTTAAAATCTATTTTATTGACACTATGATAGCAGTGATCATTACTGTAGGCCAAAAATAAATAAATGAAAGCACTGACAAAGAATTAGGACACATCTTCTCTTACCCCTTGACTGCAAGGTGCGGCCTGACTTGGGAAGTGAAATGTGGTGGTGACGAGTCTCAGGGTGAGGAGGCCTGGCCTGGAGGCGGAGAGCACAGAGCTGCATTCTGTGAGCACACACCATGCACAGGCGAGCGTGCCCTGCTGGGAGTTCCCGAGTGTGTACTTGTCACTAAATTTGATTTACATCGGGGCTTGTGGAGTTAATCATCAGAGTTTCTTTTTTTGTTTGTTTTTTCTTTCTAAGACAGGGTCTCACTGTGTAGCTCAGGCTGACCTTGAACTTGTGGCGATCCTCCTGCCTCAGCCTCCCCAGTGCTGGGATTACAGGCATGGGCTATGCAGTGGGGACAGAGTGACATCCTCATGATGATCCTGAAATGACCTGTCCCATTATAATTTCAGGAATATGAAAAGGCGGTGAGAGCAGGGTCACTTATTTTAATTCAGAAGGCAGTGCTTCTGTGCACACATTTTAAATGAGATGCCCCTTCCGGGGAGCTGCTCTGTTCACCCCCTGAGGCTCCACGTAGCTATGGCCACACTGCGTCTGCCTCTGAGGCACCAGTATTCTCGGGGACTCCAGCAGCCAGAGGCATGAGTGGACTTAGCAAGGGGTCCCCTTGGCCTCTGATGACCCCACATCTCACGGAGACCAGAAATAAATGGCGCAGTCACACAGTCACATTTAAGAGCAGTCACATAGATTTTCTGCACTGGACTCTGTCTAGGCGATGCCTGGCGAAGAGTTATGTCTGTTAGGATTTAACTGAAAATTGCATCTTAATGGGAGATAAGTGCAGTTGCCTGGTTTGATCATAAAGCTGCCTGGAACTGGACTGGATGCTGGGTTCCCTTCCTATCCCCAAGAGCCTCCCTCGGGCAGCTAATTGACTGGCACACGGTAGGGCCATGTATGTGTGTGTGTGTGAGACAGAGAGAGAGAGAGAGAGAGAGAGAGAGAGAGAGAGAGAGAGAAAGAGAGAGAGAGAGAGAATATGTGTCACGGAAACATTTCTCTCATTTTCTTTCAAGGATTCGAACTGACTAGAGAGAGTGGTGCAGACTTACGCCGTGATCTGGAACTGCTCCTTTTGCATCTGCAGACAGTGCTGGTCCAGGCAGGCATAGGGCTCGAGCTCTGTCCCTCATGGAAGATGGATCCCACTTTGTTTGTGACATGCAAATGGACACCAGCATCCTTTCACACACATCTATCTGAGCCTGTACCATTCCTGCTTAAGCTTTCCGGGTCTAAGCCGCCTCTTCTGACCCCACCCCGGGGAAACTTCTGGGCAGTGCAGAACTTGCACGCAGGTACAGAATAATGCTCCCCACACCTGGGAAGGGCCGACTGACCTTGCTTTCAGGATCCCTGGAGCAGTGAGCTGGATTTGTACCGGGAGAGGCATGGAGGTGTCCTCGTCCTGGTGTCGAAGTGCAGTGTGGAGAAGTGAATGTCCAAGACCAGGGACTGCAGCTCTGGTAGTGATTCCCGTGTTTTCATGGGGCAAGGCAGTTCTGCTGAGAATCACCAGGAGACCGTGAAGTTTATGACAGAAGTTTTTAGCACTTAGTCACCGGACAGCCCTTTGTTCTCATTTCATTTATTTCTAAAGCAAACAGCAGAAAATTGAATTATAGAGCAGATTTACATTTCCATTCAATTCTTATACTATTTATTTCATGTGTCTTTGCAGCTGGCCACATCTTCCCATACAGTGATGACATTCTGGAAAGTTGGTGAAACATATTTTGAAAGATCTAAGACTAGATACAAAAGATAATTTGAGCAGTTTAAAATTTGTGTGGGTTCAGCTGAAAGGAGTGTCACCTTTGTATACATGATAGTGGTGGGCACTGTACCTTTCCTGCTCTTGCCTAGCTCTACACCCCCTGGGTAGAATTTGAGTCTACTTCTCATTTTATTGGCTGAAAATTGTTTACTTAGTTAAAGTTTTTAAAAATTTACCTCCATGCAGTTGCTGAGTACTTGGACAGTAGTGCTTTTTTAACATAAGTAGAAACCCAGAATCCATCTCAGGGGGTGAATCAGGATGGAGAGGTGCACATGTCCACAGCCCTGAGGTGGACTGAACATTCAAAGCAACAGGGACTTACAAAACAGAGCTCAAGTTGTCTTTGATGGAGCTACAGACACTGGCTTTGAAGTGTGACTGTCTTTTCCATTCCTGGGACAAAACACCTGACACACTCAACGCAAGGAGAAAAGGTTTACTTTGCTCAGGGTTTCAGAGGGTTGAGTCCCTGGTTGGCTGGCTCCAAGGCAGGAGTAGCACGGTAGAAGGGCCTGGCAGAAAAAAATTGCTCACTTGATGGCATCCAGGAAGCAGAGAGAGAAGGAAGGATCCAGAGAAAGAGGAAAGGGTAGAGGATAAGAACATCCTCCCAGGTCACGTCCCACTCAGCTTTGAACTCATCACTAGGTTTATCTACTGATCAAGTTAGTGCTGCATGATCAAATCATCCTCCAAAAGCCTTGCCTCTGAGCACATGAGCTTATAGGGGGACATTGTTGGTCCAGTCTGTGCCATGGGTTTGACTTCAGACTCAGACATTATTTAACAGTGTGATTTTTCTACTAGTTATTTAATCTTTTGGGGGACTTTTATAATACATGCTGTGTATATAGGCAGGATAGTAAAATCTATTTGATAGGATTATTGGGAAGGTTAAATGGAATAGTATATGTAAAGCAATTGATATGGTACTTAGCACAAGGGCGGTCTGAAGTAGCATTAGGTCTCCATGGGTCTTGGCCAATATGTTCAATATTTATTGGGTGAGTGGGCAGAGAAACTGGTGTTTTATAAAAAGAATTCACTGCCCTATTTTTATTTATAATAAGGGATATAAGGCTGTGTCAGACAACATTTTAAAAGCATTTGGGATCGTCTTTTAATGCTCCATAGGAAGAGTGCCGCCTTCCCACTCATGAGAATCCTTTATCTACTAGATGTCATCACTTGCCTCGTCCAACTGAAACATTTACAAAATATTTTGAACTTTATGCTTCTACTCTGTTTAACAGCATTTTAGCTTGTAATTAGGTCAAAGAATTTCGGCTTCCTTCTGACAAGGACAACCCTAAAAAGTTTTCATGAACTTAACTTTATTAATGTCACAAGCCAGACTCACAAGTTGGACTTTTCAGTAGCAGTTTTTGTGTAATACATTGCAAAAAAGAAGTGGTTATCATAATTTCAAAGGTAAATAAGTGCAGTGTTCATTCCTGCATGCATTTTGCATGCTACAACTTGGGCATACCCAGAAACCCATTAGACCAGTTAGCAGAACCTTGTCATTCAAGTCAGCAGTCTGCCAGATCTTGTTTATCAGCATGTCTTGGATTACAGCTGCTAACTTGTTCTTTGGTTTCAAAAACTTGAAATTAATTACTGGACAGGACAGAAATCAGATATTCTTCTTTTATTTTCTGATTCTCACTTAGTCTGGACATACTTTTCTTGAAAAAGCAGCTTTTATTGAAAGACTTAAAACAGGTTTACTTACTAATTCTCTTTCATCTACGATATCAAAGTCCAAAGAAAATTGCCTCTTAGGTATTTTTGCCTGTTGGGGATTGTGTGTGACTTTCTAGCCAGACTTCTTGAGAGGCACACTGCGTAGTTCAAACTTCACACAGTGAGAGAAATTACTTGTTTTTGATAGGGAGCCCCGTCCCTGTATTAGTAGTTTCAGTTACCCAAGGCTGAGAACGCTGCTGCCCGTTTCAGGGTTAATGGCAGAGACAGCGGCTGCAGTTTGTAACTTACTTTGCAGATAAGAGAGGTTGGATTGGCAAAACTTTATTTATCATTTAAATGTCCCCTTACTGGCACTAACTTGGCATGATTAGGATCAAGTTTCACCTCAGCAACCACAAAGAAGTCCATGTGAAAACCTGAGTTAGCTGATAGCCAGATTACAGTTTACTCTGGTAATGTTTAGTTCCTTCTCAAAGGGGCATCTTGGCTGGATGGTTGACTGTCTCATTCCTTAGCAGAGCTTTGTTGGCTATTACTCTTTACAGCATTTCATAGTTAAGGTGGGTACCATTGTTTCCAAGTAAGGGTAAGATATACTCATGTGCAAATATTTACTTTTGTCATTTCTACCGAAGATTATTGGGAACATCTTACACCGGAGGTTTACCTTGGTGTGTACAACCTTTATTCAGTAACAAGTATATATTAATGTATAGCAATCTAAGGAATGTGTAGTCTATCACAGAGAATGGGTGATAAATGTTACTATGTAAATTTTTATTATTCACCATGCAGTTGTGATACTCATCACATATTTGAATTTGCAAAATCAAAAAAGCATATGGTACAACTCTACTGGGTTGAGGAAAAATTATAGTTTGTAGCATATCCTTTATGGTCTCAAAGTAGAAGTAAAAGTTTCTATCATAAAAAATATTGTTTTATTAAATGCTGCATTGACAGTCTCCTGGTAAATTAAGATGTTTAAAATAAGTCTAATTCAGAGATTTGCATTTTGCTTTTTTTTTGGTTTTTCTCCAGTACCGGGAACCGAACTCACGACCTTGCGCTTGCCAGGCAGGCGCTTTGCCGCTGAGCTAAATCCCCAGCCCCTGCATTTTGCTTTTTATGTTTAGGTCTCTAGGTTTTGTATTTCTATTTGTTAAAAATAAATGTTTCATCATATACACTTTCAGACTTGAGATTTATAGTTTGGAAAAATGCCACAAATGTTAGGCCACATGTAACATTTTTATTTTCAGGCCTTGAGCAAAATTATGCAAGCAGATTTTTTAGTGCATTTAACTTTCTCCTTAGCTCTTATTTATCTTGTTTGTAGAGGCCTTAAACATTTGAGAAGATTTTGCAGAAGAAATTGGATTAAATAGCTAAAAGTTCAGATTCAGAGATTTAAGTAAATTTGTACTTTGTATCAATGTGACTTTAAGTCAACC